GGTGTTGTATCTGCTCATGTCTTTTCGTGCTCAACAGGCTTCATAGGTAGAGTAGTCAAAGGGCTGGGATTTTTCAGCATCTGATGGCAGCAGCGTGAGTTACAGCGAGAGCTGACGTACAGTAATGGGGCGCTGAAGTGTAAGTATGAGGGTGCATGGTTGATCTCTGCTCAGAGTTGGAGTTTGCTGACGTGCAAGGAGCACAGACCCGCATGGCAAGGGGTGCAAAGCGTTGTAGGTTCTGTCTTTCTTCTGCTTTGTTTCATCCAGCACCTGTTTCAGCTCAAATGGTTGGAAAGGATGAACAAGGGCTTACTTATGAGCACTTGCTTTCCATATAATCCTTAATGTGTGGCAGTCTAAACCTCCAAGGATTGATTTTAATTTCCTTCAAAAAGTTGCTCCTGGCAGAATCTGATAAAGCTGTTTTTAGTCTAATTCTTCCCAGCCCAGCCCTTGGTGAGCTATCGGAGCATACCTATCTTTGGGAATTCATTTGGTGATCACTGCAGCTTGCATTCATTATCTCAAATACCTCCCAAATCGTTGGCTGGCTGGAAAAGTGGTCTGACAGCATTTTCTGAAACTTTTCACTTTTAGGGGAGAATTTGCTGGTTATTGCTGATGGTTTGTGTTTTCTGCCCTGTGTTGAGCTGCTCTTTCAACACACAAAGATAAGGAGAAGCAGAGCCTCTCCATTTCTTCTTGACCTACTCTGTGCTGCTGCATTCTTTTTTTCACCAAAATTCGCTTATTTGTGTCCAGGGCTCTTGAATCCTTCTGGTGCCGCCAGACCCACCTTGCTCCCAGCCCGCAGCCTGGTGGTTGCATGGTCACAGCACAACCTCCTGGTGCAGAACAGGTCATGGTCTCCTGCAGAAGGGTCTGAAGCTGAGCCCAATCATACAGAAGTTTTGTACAAATTTTGAAGAGCTTTTGGGGTACATATTCTGCATTTTCCTGCTGCCAGCCTGGTGAATCAAGTAGCAGCTTTTCTCTTTTAGAAAGGTCTTAATGAACAAAGATGTGCCCCCATCTTCCAAATATCAGACTAGGAGATGCAACGAGGGCTAGTTTAAAGCAGTTTGCGCATACTTGGTAAATCAGAATGATTTTTTCATTCCCGAACTCTGCAACAGAAAACAAGTTTTTGTGGAAACAAAAACACAAGCTTGGTGCTGTGTTGGAGCAGAGTGATGCATTGCAGGAGAGATTTAGCATCATGTTCTGACCTTTCTGGAAACAGTTGATATGGAAATATTTTTGCTGTAGTTATTTAAACTTCTTTTCTTGCATTTATTTAAACGAGGCAGTATATTTATTTAAAAAATTGAGCAGCATGCCAGTCCCTAGTTCTTGGCATGTTAACGAAACTAATCATGCAATAAACATAAAGCCTTTAAATCTGTGCTCAAACGCTTTGATCCTAATGCTCATAGGAAAGTACTTTTGTTCTTATGCTCCATGTAAAGCACCAGGTGTGACTGTGGTGGTTTTAGGAGATAATAAAGGTAATAACAAGAGGAAGATTTACTGGAGTCTTTAGTGTAATGGAGTCTTTAGTGTAGTGACTGTAGCTTATTTTCTGAAACAGAGAAATACTATTATTTTATGTGCTGCAATCATATTGGGATTTTTTTAAGAAACAACACAATGTGTTGTTTTCACACCATCCTCCATGCCTGGCTATCCTCCCGGGCTCACCCAGAGGTGCTGTTTGTTGCCGTGCCTTGATCACAGGCTGGAAACAGCATTTCAGAGCAACATTCTCCTGTGCTTGAGTGGGTGAATCATGGGCATGGCCAAGCGCATGTGATCCTCAACTCTAGGAAGCTGGTTAGTGTAACAAGTCGGTTCAGTACCTTGGCTACACCTTCAGAGCTGGGTCCAGAAGTCATTAAAGTCTTTCTGTTGTCTGTAAAGAGCCTTGGATGAGGCTGCTCTTCCATAGAGAGCCACCCATCCATTCCCAGTACTTGGAAATATATTCTATGGAAGGTGGGGGATAGGAAAGAAATCAGGAAAAAGAAAGAGAAATACGAAGGGAGTGGTTTTGCCTGTGCTTTTCCAGCGTTTTAGAGAAGGCAAGGTCAAAGCTTACCTTGCTATGGCCCTGTTATTTATAGATACTGTAGGCAGGCAGCCCCGTTTGCAGGGATGAGGAGTCCTGCTAATGAAATATGAAGTTTCTCCAGTGTCCAGAGTAAATGATGCGGCTGATGGCACTAGGTAGGTGTACTGCTTCCCCGAGTCACGTGGCGTTGAGATGAAGCCCACTTTTAAATTTTTTCCTGCATATTGGTCACAGATTCTTAAAATCTGCATGCCAAATAAAAGTTTGAAATAGCTTAGATGAATCAGAAGGCAGTTATAAAGTAGACTTTTTGCAAGGAATTTGCAGTCTCTGATACTTGGTTACATTAGATTATTTGACCTCTCTTTTCTCTCTGTGCAAATGAGCTCATAACTCACGTGTGCATGAAAGCAAACAGGTGGTTTAGATCTGAAAATGCACAGCTGCCTAACTTTGATTTGTATTAAAGACAGACAAAGAAATTATTAATTCCAGCATCTTGGGAATTACATTTAAGTATTAACAAAATTAGGCAAATTATGCCTCGACCTCAGTGCACCAAGTTATGCGTGCAGCCTTGGTGTTTGGTCATGGGATGGCGAGGTAAATGTCAGAATCAGGCTTCACGCTGAAGTTAAGCAATTTGTAGAAGGAGGGTAATAATTTTGGACGTGACTACCGTGATTTGTGAGAGCAAACATTTATCAGCCAGATTCAGGTCCCCAGAAACGTGCTTGCATTGTTGCACAATGCAGTTATTCTTCCTTTAGAATAAGTAGCAGATCCAATGTATTCTTTAAATGACAGAAAAGATGTGCTAAGCTCTAGCAGCTCAGGATGTGGTGCAAGAGAGAGTCCTGGTCAAGTGTGTGAATTTGCTCTTTAGTTTTGGCTGTCAGAGTAAAATGGCACCAACCTGCATGGAGAGCACTTACTGAGAACTTGAATTTTTTCTAAACTGTCAGTGTTGGTGGTTAGTCCAAAGACAGTAAATGGGTGAAAGTTTTAGAAGTTTACAACTGGGTTTGGTAAGATTTGACATTCCCTTCTTGTTGCTGACATTCATTGCCTGGGGAGAGATGTGGAGAGAATGAAAAAAATAAAGTTCAGAGGAAATTTGAAGGCTTATAAAAATAGGAGAACATTAACACAATTGTTTTTCTGTTGATACTAGAAAAAAAAGAGTTAAGTTTATGAATCTGGGTAACTCCTTAAAGTCTTATTGTAGAACAAGGGACAGCATTTTCTCTGTTTCTCAATGCAAGGTTGAACATTACTCGTTGGGTTTTTTGGTTCGTCTTGAAATTTGACTCGGGCTCAGAAGTCATAGGCAGCCTGCTGCAGGTTCATTTGCTTCCCCTCTTCTCTCAGAGGAGCATTATTATTGGCTTTTAAACCTTATTGGTTGCAAAGGACATCAGCTACCTTTTGTCGATCTGTAACCATCTTGCAGCAGGAAAACAGCCTTTTTCAGAACATCCCTTACGCAAGCTTTTAAGCAGCAATGTCTGATCTTTTGAGTTACATCCATTTGTCTCCACGTTGGTCTGAACTTTTCCATTTTGGAGCAAGTTACTGCTCTCTAGCTTGTTCTTTGTACACCTCTTAAACACAATAGAGGCTGAAGGAGTTGGAAGTAGTGCTGTAGTGTAAAATAATCACAGTTGTCAACACATATGCCGATTTCTATTCTAATGGATCGTCTAGAGCTGCTACATATATAAAGTGTAGGGGTTTAGGTTTCAAGTGTATTCATTGACTAGGAAGAGCTTGGGCTGTAATTTGTTTCTTGGGAAATACACTGATGGAGTGGCTCCGTAGCAAAGGAAGAAGCTTCATCCCTGCATGTTTGCTGCATTCTGAAAAGAAAACAGAACATTTTATACGGAGAGAAGGTTGAACCAATATGTTTGTGCTCAAGGATTAAGCCAGGGTGCTTGTGACATAGCATTTAATGACTTGCATAACATGTAATGAAGAAATTGAAGCTGAGACTCTGGGTGCATCATGCTGAGTAAGAGGCTTGTTCTACATGAAACTGTCATATTAAATTCTTGTTGTGATTCCGGACCCCTTTGATTCCTAAATCTTTTGGAGGAGACTAATCTGAAATCAAAGTGAAGTTGCTGGGGGTTTGCCTGCCAGAAGTGGTCACATTTGAAAAAGTTCAGTGAACCTGCAGAGGGAGGTTGAAATTAGTTGCTTCGCTACAAAGCTTAGAGCTAACATACCTGCTGACTTGCTTTTTACTTTGATTCTTTGGGCTCTGCCTTCTTGCCACCTTCTGAGTTGTTTTCAAAATGCATAAATCTTAAGCATGAGCATGTCCTGGTTTCAGTCTGTTTAGGAAAAAAAAGTAAATCAGTCCACACTGGTGAAACAAGTTTAATACCAAGGACATGGAAAGTCTGTATTTTTTCTCTTCTGCCTTGTCCTTTGCGCAGTTATTTCCCTTTGTGAAGGTGTATACCACACTTTCCTCTCCTGATTTACCAGCATTTGGGCTCTCTTTGTACCAAGGTAAATGGAAATAGTTCCTTTCAAGTTCTTCTAAGTAGATACTGAGGGCTTCTGCCTTGATCCCTGTCAGACGACTCTGCTCCTTTCAAACCGCTGGAGCAATGCCAGGAATCCAGCCTGTCGTCACTGCTGAACGTCAGCTGCTTTCTCTGACTTGAAGTTGGCATTTTGGGGGGCTTTGACCAAAAATATCATGCAATATTGAGTACAAATGGGAGCACTTCCAGAGGTTAAATTTTGCCCTTCCATAGCCCCCTCAAGCACTGCGTAGGCTGCTGGGCAGCTGGGGATGTGCTTTTTGGTCTAGTTAAAAAAAATAAAAAATGCCCTGGGTGGCCATGGCCCGTGTAGAACCATGTAGATGGCCCTGCATGAAAGCTCATCTGTTGTTACTTTACATTTACAGTGTTCTGTCTCCTGTGGAAGGGGCCAAAAGCACCGCAATGTGTATTGTTTGTCAAAGGAAGGGAGGCATGTAGAAGAAGATTATTGCAAGCACCTTGCTAAGCCCAACGTGCAAAAGAAATGCAGAGGGGGCAGATGTCCGAAGTGGAAAGCAGGAGATTGGGGACAGGTGAGACATGTTGTATACCCTTTTGCACCCTTTGATATTCTTCCTCCAGCAAATTGGTTAGAAGCTGGTTTTCCCGTCACTTCTGTCCTGTTGAATTTTTCAAGGGTAAAAGTTTGGGGCCAGATCCTCAGGTGGTGTAAAAAAGTGTAGCTTCATGGGCAAACAGTGGAGCAGCGCAGATTTGTACCAGCTGAGAAAATGGCAACTTGCTTCTAGTGTCTATCTGAAAGCAAATTCCTTTTTGTATATTTTAAGTTTCTGCCAGAGAAGACATTAGTATATAATATTAAAGAGAATCTATTTATTCATGTTTTTAATATTGTTATTATTTAACCATGTCACATGCCAAGCAAAATCTTCCTTAGTTTTGAGAAAGCTGAAATTAATCTTATTTTCAGCTTCCTGGAAAGCCTAAAGAATAATTAGAGCTGTTCATTAAAAATGGTTTTCACTACCTTTTGTTTCTTAACAAGCTCATCTCTTGATTTTGCTTCATTAAAAAGTCAGCCACTGAGCAGAGGCTGCTGGAAATGTGAAAGTGCTTGGAGTTACTAAACATCTCGTTTGCTGAAAGCATACCTTGAATCCTTGTTTACCTGACAATAATGTCTTTGCCATCACCTTGAATCTGCTGCATCCCATTTTTACCTCTGAAGCTCACTTCTTCCTCTACCTCATTAGTGTGCTAATCAGCAGAATTATTGAAAAGCCCAGACTAAATGAACTGTTAACTTGTAAAACATCATGTTCTCTTGCTGTCTATCTTCCAAATTAAGGTACAAAACACCAGTTCTCTCTGCATGCAAGTTCTCTGAAAGATAAACCATTAACATCTCTATAGGTGCACACGCGAATGTTAGGACTAGGTCAGCGTACTGTTTTTTAATGTAGACTATTAAGAAAGACAATAAACTCAGCTATGTTCTATGATTGTTTTTAGACTTTTTTTAATGCTTACCTGTGAGTTCGGAGGATAGGAGCATTGGCCATTATGTGTGCAAAGGGCTGAGCGTGCATTCACCATGGAGGTTCAGTTACTGAGGTCCAGGTCCTCTGCCCAAGGTATGGCTGGGAGCACCCACGTAGCCCTGGGAAATGCATGGTCCTGCTCCCAAGTTGGAAATCAAGTCATTAGTATTAACTTTATTACCTGAAGGACTTTATACAGGGAGCTAGATAGTCTTGCCGTGTCCAATTTGCACCTTATTTAAAGCAACTGCTCCTGAAAGCTATTTTTATCAGCTGATAATTGTAAACATAGTAACCTGATGGTCCGTCGACTTCGTTAAAATGCACGAATGTTAATTGATAAAAGTGTCTTAAATTCCCAACATAAAAGTGTCTTAAATTCCCAACACCCACGATGGGTGTTAATTTCATGAAAACGAAGAAAGAAACCCAGGTTAATAGGGGGATGAGGTGATTTATGGCCTGGAGTAATCTCTTGTGACTAGGCAATTAAGGAGTATTTGTGTGCTAATAATAAGGCTAAGAACAGGCAGCGCATTTCTAGGGCTAGTTCCTCAGCCCGGGTCCCTGATGCTGTGTGTGCTCAGCCAGTCAGCATTGTGCTTGAGGAAAAAATAAAGGGGTGTTAACACTCATTCTGCGATATCAAACCGGGCTTTTAAAGCCACGTGAAATGCTCCAGCGTGGCTTCCTTGCGTCCTGATCCTCGCGTTTCTTTGCCCGCGACAGGTGAGATGTTGGGGCTGTCAGAAGGTTGGGGCACTGGCCGTGGCCGTTCCTGCGAGAGGTGTGCAAGGCTTTGCAAAAGATTTAATGCCTCAGAGCCGAGGTGGGTTTAGGCACTGAGCTCCTCGTTAAGCCTAAGAAACAGGCAGGGATTTGGCACTCTGGATACCCAGTAGATCCGGTTCTGACCGAGCACGGAAGCTCGGTGTCGCCTTCCCCATCACAGGTGTCACCGTTGAAAATAGGAGCCGTGATCAGTTTGCGCTGAGATGCTATCAATAGAACGCTTTCTGAATGTCTAAATGCCTCCAAAAGACAATCCTGAAGCTGAGCTGCTGTGAGCTGGTTGTCTTTTGTCCCGAAGTAAAGCAGCAGAAGTCCGCGTGAGAAATAAGGCAAAGTTTTCCCATGAAAATGCATCCCACTATGCGCAGGACCTGTTGCATGTCCCTTTAGATTTGGTGGTTTGTTTGGTTTTGTTTTTTCCTTTTGAGAAGAGGAATGATTGAAAAATCAGGATTGAAAAATACAGGAATGTTATAAAAGGAATCGCAGACTGCAGCTGGCTAAGCTCATGCTGTGCTCCCAGGGTTTTTTCTCTCCGGCTGTTTTTTATTCAGAGGCTGGGTAGTTCTTTTTGAGGTTGTTATGAATCCACTTTCCTGCAGCAAAATGTTTTTTAATATAGCCGTAACAATCGGAAGGGAAGAAAAAAGGCTTTTTCTCCAAGTTTTAAATGTGCTTGCGTCTGCACTGAAATGTCAGTTTTAATGTGTTTGCACCTTCTAAGTGGTACCAATTATGGCCATTTGCCTTTCACTTAGCAAAAATACCAATATTTTTTCTGCTGTCTAGTATTTGCATATTTCAGCTACAGGCTGAAATTCAGGGTTAGGATTTCAGCTACAGGCCCTTGTCTAAAAACACAGGTAGAGCTTCTCCATAGCCGAGCTGGAACTTGGCTGTTTGGCGGTTGGCTTTCTCAATGGAGAAAGGAGCAGTCCTGGGAAAATGCAGAGACTCCATTAAAAGGACCAACAGGCTGCCTGGCTCATGGCATCCTGAAGAGGAATATATAAGCATAAGTTGGCTGCCCCCAAACTGAGCATCTTGCGGTGGTGTCAGCTCTTCGCCGAGGCAGACGCAGGTTGGCTGACCTGGATTAAAAAAGCCAGGATGAAAATGGTGTGAAAACCCACCTATTCTTGCCTCTGTAATGGAGTTTAACGATGTTATTTTGAAGGCAGCCACAAATCAAGCTGGAGCTGTGGCAACGCTGATTCTGCAGCCCAGGCAGTGGCAGGAAGCAAGGCGTGACTTGCGCTCCCTTATCATAACATACCCGAGCATGTGCTTTTTAGGTGGGTGGTAAATGCAAACCAAAAGGCATTTTAGAGCATGGTATGCATCCTGCTGTATATGTTTCTCCAAGTTTGTGGCCATTATTCAGTTTAACTGTCCCCTATGGAATGCATAGGACAAACAGCACCGTTAATCACGGGGCGGCAGTGCAGCATATGGGAAGCATTTGCATCACCCATGACAGAAATCACACTGCTGCTTTCAAATGATACAAAAAAACCCCAAAACACCTCCCAGCCTCTTACAAACATCTGAAGCCAGGAGAATGTTCACAGTCAGCCTTTCTTGGATCCTCTTGGCTTTATGGGGCATTTGGATGGTAAAGCAAACAGAGCACTAGGGAGGAATACTCTGCAGAGGAGAGAATTGTTTCCCTGTTAGGTGCCACTTAATTCTCTTAGGAAGACTGGCTTTTATGGGTATTGCAATAATGGGCTGTAAACTTGTTTCCTTAGTTCCTGATGTATTAATAAGGTTGCTTATACTAATTGTTAATTTAGCAAATGGCTAATCATAACAGCCGTGTTTTAAATGCATACCTTTGATTTTTACATGCTTCCTTCTATAAATGGAAATTCTCTTTATTCCGAATCTATACTTCAAGATCTAGTCAGGAAGAATCCATACCAAAGGGACATTAAGTACTGCTAAACATATTACAGTGTGCAGTCACAACAGTGAGAAGTGTTGCGTGAAAGAAAAAGCAAGCTGTTAAAAGCATTGTAGTGTAGATAATTGTTTGAAGATGTCTGCGAAGCTTTTCTTGCTGTGCCTCGAAGTGGGGAGAAATGTGCCCACGGTGTAGTGAAGGAAATGTGAAATGCAGTTAATTTTAAAAAGACATTTATTTTCACAAACTAGCAGTATACCCTGGCTTGTGTGCGTGTTTAGATGCAAGCTGAAAGAAATCCCAGCTGTATCATACCTTTACCTCTCTGCTGCCACAGACTTTCTTCTATGTACTTTGCTTTTCATTAAAGTCCACTTCAGTGACACTTGTGGCGTTTGATATATATTTTGAACTATTGCTTTTTTGAGCCGAGTGCCTGACAAGTAATACTCAGAGCCTCACCGCCTCTGGCGTGTTGTGATGGATTAGCAGTGCCGCTATCTCCAGAGGTTTTTGCAATAAAAATCCTGGCCGGGAAATCCTGACCCTGCTGAAGCCAACGGCAAAAATTCCCACTGGCTTCAGGGGAGCAGGGATTTCTTGCAAAAGTTTTCCCCCCATGCAATAAAAAGCCTCACCTGAAAGTTTAAATGCCGATGTTAGAGCATCG